ACACTGTAGGATTAGGGTAGAATGCAGGTAACATATCGCTACTGTCTCAACGATGTGTGTTGTGGTAGTGGTTCCAGGGACAAACTTCTGTAGACATGTCTTAAAACTTGCAGAACTGCATTGCAGCTTGTGCCAGGCTCCTTCTCTGCCTGCACCTGCCAAATGTACCTGTCTTCTTTTCTGAGGGAGGGTGCATTCGTTCTGTAATGCTCAGAGGCTGATGCCCATGATGAAGTTCTTGTGTCATAGTAGATGCAGCAGTAGTGACTATAGTATTGGGCTTGATCAACTGTCACAGGCCTGTATTCACAATGGTTTTGTGATTCACTGCACTAATGAGATTATTTTTATATTCCAGGCATTTTTCTCTTGGGAAGAAGTATAAGTATCTTCTTATAGCCACAGAATCCTTATTAGTCAGTGATTTTGTACTGTCTCTTTCAGTACCAGTTGCTGAGATTTAGTTACTGAGATCCCTAATTGTAATTTCTCCCTGGGCACAGCTTTTCTTGATCCAGACTCTTAAACCTTGTTGCTGTCCTATTACCTTTATGCCACAGTAGATAAGTAGATAAGTTTAAAGTAATTTTAATATAAAAAGGAATTTAGCAAAAATAAAATTAGACACAAAAAACAGTTGGGTGGTATTAACAATAAAAGAGTTCTTCAGTTTTTGGCTGTAAACAAGTTCTTCCGTAGACATGTGCATTTCTATGGTCAGTCTGTTAATTCATGTTTTATTTTCAAAGGTATGTTTCCACTGTAGAAAGCCTGGCCATGGCATTGCTGATTGCCCAGCAGCACTTGAAAATCAGGATATGGGTACTGGAATCTGTTATCGGTGTGGATCTACAGAGCATGAAATCAGCAAGTGTAAAGCAAAAATAGACCCAGCTGTTGGTATGCTTTAATATCTGTTTCTTTCTTAGAGGGAATGCTGTGTAAGGGGTTTCCATTCATTGAAGTATAATATTTTCTTTTTTTAGTCAGAAAAAGTAACAGTTGTTGTGAAGACACAAATTACTTGTTTTAAACTGGTTCTGGATTACTGCAATATTGATTTCTTCTGTGTAAATCTCATTCGTTGCATAAGCTAGTGTTTTATCTGTATGTTTACTGTGATGGCTGTAGCATGTATCATGAAAAAACAAATCAAATTTTGCAGGGGAATTTCCATTTGCAAAATGTTTTATTTGTGGTGAGATGGGACATCTGTCAAGATCGTGTCCAGATAACCCTAAAGGACTGTATGCTGAAGGTGAGTATAACTATTTAAATTGAACATTTGTCTTGATATAAATTTAACTACAAGAAACTAACAAAGAAATGGCTACCAGGTAGTGAGTATAACAATTTGTATCCTGTATGTCTGTGTATAAAGCCTGTGGCAACTTTAGTGTGTCCCATATTTAGCTTTCCTAACTAGGGGTTGCTTCTTCATTTGCAAGGATCTTGACATCAAGAGGGTAAGTAGCAGAGTATAGAAATCAAATTTTGTATCTTCTAATGCTCAGTTTTGAGACAGCTCTTGGAAGGCTTGAGAAGGACAGGAGAGTTTCATAGCCGTTATCTGCTTCCCATCACTTTTAATGCTTCTGACTTGGACAACTGCTACTCCTTCATTTCTTTGAACTTAACTAGAATATAATTCAGTTACAAAATAAACGGTGGGGCTAAATGGTACTATGCACTTGTGATTTATCCCCTTAATCGAGGGGTATCAAACTCATCACACCCTAGTCTGCACGCCAAATAGAGAGGGTCTGTGGGCCCTACTTTGCCTTTCCCCTCCCCTAGCATACCTGATCCAGTGGCTGCTTTGTGCAGCATGGGTCCCAGACTGGCTGGAGGAGGCATCATAGGTGGTATGTGTCCCAGAGTAGCCAGATATGGCAGCACACATGGCGCAGGGTCCGCCCCGGTGGGATTGTGTTGCATATAGTGCCCACTCTGGGACACATACCACAGTGCAGATCCCAGACTAGGCAGAGCAGCTGCTGGATTAGGAATGTTGGGGAAGGGTTCTGTGGGCAGGATCAGGCCTGTGGACTGGCCCTGCCTCATGAGCATGTGCTGTGCCCTGTGCGTGTCTGATAAGACCTGGCGGCAGCACCAGGGACCAGATGGCAGGGCTCTGCGGATCCAGCCCGTGGGCCGTGTATTTGACACCCCTGCCTTAACCGATATGCAGGTTACATATAAGCAATAAGTAGCAAGTTGGGACTTGGATGTTATTCTGTAAAGCAAATGAAGCTGTTACCAGCTATGGACATAAGCAGAGTTACACTGTATTGGCTGTTTTACCTAGACAACTGTACGCTCACTGCGTCGTGGACACAGATTACTTAAGCATTTAGTGAGTGTTACCCAAACAAGTCCATTTAGTGCAACATTATGCTTCAGTCCTTTTTTTTTTACAGTGATGTGCTAACAGTGCAGAAGAGCAAAACAGAATGAAAGTAAAGAAGAACCCTCTTTTTTATCTTGTGGTGTTATAAATTGTATAACCGCAAGCATGAAGTGATTTGAACTGGAAGCAATGCCTAAGCATCTTTTTGAATTGCAACACGTTCTTAGTGAAGCCTTTATGCTAAGAAAGGGACATCTTCCACTTAAATTTCAGCTCAATTTTAAGCTTATAAAGCTTATTAGAGCAATCTACTCTACCTTTTTCCTTTCTACAGATAACTATTAGTTTTCTAGTATTTCCCATGAGTTTATCTTCTTACTCTGTGAAAGACTTTTGGCAAACATCATGGTGGGGGGAAGCATTCACATTAAAATAGACAAGTATGATTATAAAGCCTTAAATTGGCAGAATCACATGGCTTCATTTTTGTTTAAAACTGGCTGGATTTCTGATAGATATTGCCCCTCAAAAGGCCAAATATTGCAGTCTGATGCCCACATGCAGCTTCCATTAATCCAAAAGTATTTGTGAATGCTGGCATCTTCGAACAGAGCTTGATCTGGAGGAAACTATTTTTACAGTTTCAAATAAGTGTGAAGACTTCTAGGAAAATGTTGCACAAATGATAGTTTCAGAGTAATAATACTTAAGTCTTTATCTGTAGTTAAGATCTCAGTGCTTTACAAAGGCATTGTCCCTGTTTCACAGTTGGGGAGTGGAGATGTAGAGGAAATCACTTGTCCATATACATACAGTAGGTCTCATACTGCAACAAGTTATTTCATCTTACCTGGAAGTCTAGGAAGCCTCTGATTAAATGTATGTCTTTCCAGTTGTGCAGGTAAGTCAGTATGTGTAAAGCTTAGATCAGATATATTTTTTTCCAGTTGTTAAACAATAGTTTTGGATGTTCCTGTCTTTAATAGGAGGCTGCTGCAGGCTTTGTGGATCAGTGGAGCACTTTAAAAAAGACTGTCCAGAAAACCAGAACTCAGGTGAGACTTAAGGAAAATGTAATTTATCTGCAGCAAAACCATTGTATTTTTGTCTGCCTGACGTAAAATAATGAGATCTATAAACAAGGCTCTCACTAGTAGCAAGTACATAACTGGTGTAATTATGAAGGAAAAGTTATATTTTTGCAAAATTTAAAGGTAGGCTCTAACCCTTAAGTTAGAAAATGATGTGAACCAGTCTGGCCTTCTGAGAGAGACGGCTCTAGTTCCTGTGCTGCTGCTTTCTGCTTGCTCAAGTGGTGGCAGAGTGACACTGACAGAATGGTTGTTAGGCTGATCCCCAGGGGTAGCAATGAAATTTAGAATAATCATGTCAATTTAAATGCAAGATGCTACCTCAGAAAGATCTGAGTGGCAGGCAGGTACTGATGCTAATAGAAGAGAGAGAAAAATACAAAATTAAAAGACTAGAAATCCTCCTTACCTCCTGCATTTAAGAGAAATGTAGAGGGAATAAATATTAATTGGTGAATGAGAAGAAACATTCTTACAGCAGCCAAAGGATTCAAACATTCATTATTAATCAAGATTGATATGAAAGGTCCAGGCTGGAGAAACATCTTTCTTGCTTAAATGTTGCCTTTGGATTATGTAAAGGAACACTTTAATCAGCCTCTTGCTAATTAGTGCCATGTGTTTTCAGGTATCTGAGGAAGCTCTAGATTAAAAATACATGTACATTATTTACAGATAATGCTGAAGAATTAAGCATTGTGGGGGGTTTTCTATTTGGTTTCACCCCTTTTCCTCTTAATTTATCTGCTGAGTTTACTACCACTCTCATTACATCTAGCTTTTTTTTTCTTATAAAATCATCCCTTTTGGGGAGACACAATTTAATTGACAAGTAGGATATTTCTGACTTCTAATAACTGTGAGGTTATGCCTTCATTTTAAGAAGTATCTTCCTGTAATCTCCATGCTGGGGTTTTACCTATAAAAGGGAACTGAGGAATAAGTGATTGTGTGCACCACAATAATGATTTAGTCATTTTCATTTGTGTGCATCTGTTTTTCCTACTTTCCTGTATGTTGTTTTAGTACCTGTGGACTCGTAAGCTATTATGACATTGGCATGATATCCTGTTTATTGTTCCATGTTTCTTCATCAGTCACTACTATATGATATAAAATATTTGAGTTCTTGGTGTTCCAACTGTGGAAGATGTATTTATTTACTTTTAATCTAGTGGGATTGGCTGGTTCTTTATTGGTTTGATTGACCTATGTTTGATATGGGATAATGGTGATCTGTGTAATAATTTGCTCTCTAGCATTACTGATCACTATGGATTATTAGAAAAAAATGTGCAAAAGTGTCTCAGCCTGTAATGCAAAAACTGTTGCTTTATCTTTGAGGAAATCTTACATCCCATGTGGCTGATGCTCAGATTCAATACCTGTGATTCAGCAAACTCGCAGCTTTAGTTGACTTCTCAACAATCTGTTTTAAATTGTCTGAAAACTAAAACGTTAGAAGCCAGTTGGGTTGGATTAAGCAGTCCTGATTCTTATAAGAGAAGATGATACAGAAGGAAAGAAGCTATGGAAGGAAAAGTAAAAGTGTTCATTTCTAGGGCAAGCAGGAAACCTAGCCATTACTATAAAAATGCAGCCTTTGTGGACTCCCGTGATGCACATGCCTTGGGTGTGGGCGCTCAGAACATCTGAACAGCTGTATCTGGTGCTTATCTCAGAGCATTGTTGGTTGCACAATCTTAATTACTACTCAGTTCCTTTTGATGACTGTAACAGTAAACAGAGGAGTTCTTCCGTATCAGCTAGTTACCTTCCTACTGGGGGTTATGATTTTCACTTCCATTACACATTGAGCTGCTTAAAGCTCTGAACTCTTCCCACACTTACGTGTGCCTGCTAAGATGGCCAAAGTCAAATCACCCCATTTCAAGTAATAACTTTCCTGTTGAGCAGTGGCACTCAACCTTTTTGTCCAGTGGGCCAGATGGGCAGTGCCCAGTTCCTCAATAGGCTGGATCCAGCCGGTGGACCCAGTCTGGCACTTGGGGCAGGCGCAGAGGGCAGGCAGGAGACAGCTTGGCCTTAATTCAGCCATGCGGGGGAAAGGGGTAATGACGCAGGCTTGATCCACCTCGTGGGAGGAAGGGGGTGTAGCCCGGCCCCAACCTGGCTCTGCAGGGGGAAAGGGGACATGGCCTGACTTCAACGTGGCCAGGAGGAGGGAGGGTTGAGGCCTCACTTCATCCCGCCAGGTGGGGCCGTGGGATTTTGTCAGGAGGGACAGGTGGCAGTATTAACTGCCACTGCTCCCCCACTGGCAAATTTCCAGACCCTTGAGGAGCCCTGCAGGCTGGATTCCAAGGCTCTACAGGCCCCGTTGGGCCTGTGGGCCAGAGGTTTAGCACCCCTGCAGTAGGGTATAGGTCACTGATAGGAATTGCTCCATGTTATGTTTTTAGTTTGGCACCCAGCCTCCAAAAATGGAATTGCCATGGAGAAAAGAAATGTTACTCAGTCAGTGTGCTGGAAGTGTTTTGTATTTAACCAGCTCTAAATTGAGCAATTAAAACAGAAGTCAGAGGTAGAAAGATCTAGGTTTTACTCTTAATTGTGGTGCAGATAATTTTTTTGGCACAACTCTCATACATAGGGCTCTACCTAAATCCTAGGGGAACTTACCTACCTTTGGGGGTTGATCGCAGTATAAAGTTCTAATTCTGCAATTGTTTCACAGCAGTCCCACCCCTCAGTGCTGATTGGTGGAGATGCCTGGGGTGGGGGGGAGGAAGGACAAGGGAGTGGCCACTGTCTTGATTGCTGGCTACCCTTCGTACAGGCCTGCCTCTCGATGCTGATTGGCAGGGGCCCTGGCAGTGGGGGAGGGACAAGGGGGCAACCACCATCTTGTC